GGCTTTGGAGTAACATATCCGGTCGCCGTCGGTGTTGTACTTGAAGTGATCAGCTTTTGTGTTGCAGGCACTGCTGTATTTGGTGTCCGGGGCGGTTCGGATTCCGGTGAGATGCCAATCGCTGCCTTGAGCCTTCCTACAATTGTAGCGTTGTCAACAGTATCCGTTGCACTATTCGAAGTTAGCGTAGACGTTGAAGTCGAGTCACAATCAGCCATTTTCCTTGTCACTGTAGTCGACGTGGATGTAGCATTTGTACTTGTGACCATAGTCGTATTTGAGGTGGAACTGGCCGACGTTACAGTGTCCGCTGGAGTCGTCGTTGTATCCGATAGAGCCCACGAGGTAGATTTTGTCGACGTGACCACGGAGGCGGATGTTAATGCAGCCGTGGTTTTGGTCGTTACAGTTGAAGCTGTAGTCGTGGCAGTGCTTGGTGACGGAGTGCTCTGTGAACCCGCAGTCGATGCTGGTACTGTCGCTAATGGCGATGATGTGGGCGTGCTCGACGTCGTGATGGTCAAACTGTTCGAAGTCGTGACGTTCGACGTGACTGTCACTGTGCTCGTACTGTTAGAAGTTGTCGTCGTCAAGCTCGCGTTACTCGACCTGTGGCATGGTGTCGTGTGATTCTGCGCAGAATGCGTCGGGTTTTGAGCGGCACACGGTGCTTGAGCGTATGCTGGCTGACTGTGTTGCCCTACATCCGATGCCACGAGGTTCTTGATCGTGATATTCTTCGACGCCAAATCCGCCAACACTGTACGCACGTCGATCGCCGTGTTCGCACACCCGCCGCAGTGGTGAATCCCAACTACTAAATTGTCATTCGAAGATATCAACGGCGAGCCGGACGAACCGCCTTGAGTGTCGGCGTCGTGTCCAACCTGTTCCGTTCCACAGTTTCCATCCTCCCCGACACTGAGCACTGTCGTGCTGTCTCCGTTGTCAATAGTGCTCACGATGCGCTTAGCGTAGCCGTCCGGATGCTGCGGCACGTAAATCGACTCATTCACTACCGGACCAGACTCACGCAGTTGAAGATATCCGTACGGAGAGAGATCTACGCAGTCCGGTAGCTGTACCACCGCGTAGTCGATGTCTTCATCATCAGCAATGAGTGTCGACGTCGTGGCTACAAGCGTTCCAGGACAACCGAGCTGCGTCTCACACTGGTCACTACACGAGGAGCTCTCCGCGGCGAACTCAATGTCCGTCGTGAGTGCCCATTCTTCTTGCTCAAAGCAGTGATGGTTCGTGAACAGGTGACCTTCACTACCTCCAAGCCAACCGGTGCACAAGTACGTGCCGTTAATCAGTAGACGAGCGACAGATTGAGCCTTTGTGTAAGCTTCAGGTAGAGATTCGGACAGGTTGGTGCCGGGTGCGTAGCATTTAGCCGGTAGCGACTGATCTCCGTCGCCGCAGACCGACTCGTGTTGCATGGTCGGGTAGCCACGAGAGAACCCCGTGATGCGGTATCCCTGACCGGCCGATGCCGTACCGACGGACGTGTACATGACAGCGACGGAATTGCCGGGGATGAAGCTGGCGATGAACGTCCCGGTCTGGTCGCGCCCACGATTTGTGTACGTGTGCGAGACCGTGACATTTGCGTCGGGGGAGCTGATGACCACGGAATCTCCTTCCGGCAGGTTGAAGCCGGCGAAATGGACGGCGATATACGACGCGAACTCGTATGAGATAAGGTCTTCGCGAGAAGTTCCGGCCGTCACGTTGACATCCAGCGGTTCTGTCGTACCGACAATAGCGACGCCGGTGTCAGTGTACTCGAGTCCCGACGCGACTTGAAATGCCACTACGAGGCTCAACATGGAGAAAAGAGTCTTGCACAGCGTCATTGTAGATGAATTGCACAACAACGCAGTGAATTGTAAAGTGACGAGAACGAACGCATTGTTATCTTTATCAAACGCTGGTGCGAACGGAGGTGGCGAAAGCAAATCATTGACTGGATTGTGCTGCTTCGAATCGCTCTAGAATTCGATGCCGTCCGTGCTGAACGAATGGTATGAAGACCGAACTTAGATCGTTCTATCGGAGGGCCGTCTAAAGTGTCGAGTGGCACTTGGCGTCGTCATCCAAACGTCGTTCTATTTCCCTCTCGTGATAGCAGGAGCCGCGCCATGCAGCGTAGCGAAGCGTGGACGACCACTGGCACCGGCTACGAGCCTCGCAGTACCACATCCAACGCTACTGGCCGTCCGGACTTGCGGTGGGGTCGTCTGACGTTCGCTCAATTGAGGGACGAGGAGTTCCTGGCCAAACAACTGAGACGGATCGAAATCACTCAAGGAGCCCGTCGACCAGGTAGATCAGCACAAACTGAAGCCGTGACCTTGAACGGGTTAGCGCCGGACAAGACCATCCGTCAACGGTTGCTGGCAGCACAGACGAAAGCAGCTCGTGGCGCATCGGAAGACGAAGAATTCGACGCGAAAGAGGAGACGACGATGGACGTGACCACCGACAATGAAGACAGGAACGAACGGGAGCTCACGAACGCTCTGTGTGTGCTCGGACGCCTGCAACAGCCTGAACTGGCTGTCTTCATGGTTACCAAGCTGAAACAGGCACTTGGACGGGTCTGTGCGTTCCCTAATCCAGTCTACCAGGCGATCGCCTTGCGACGACACTTGATGAAGAGTATGCACGAGGCGGTTGCAGCTCAACATCGACACTGGAAAGCTGCAGTTCAAGTGAACTTATCCATCGCCAAGTGCATGGAAAACAGTCTGGTACGATTAGAGGTTCCTTCAGAGGACCCGGTCGGGCTTTCTGCTTCGCTCAAACCCAAGGAAAAAGTGACGAGCGAAGCAGCACTGGGGATTCAAGTGTTGGTGTGCTTACTCAACGACTTACACGATGCTACGGTGGCTACACTCCCTCAGAGACGAGAGTTTCTAGAGGATCTTCTGCCATTGCTGTGTACCATGGGCTTTCTCGCACTCTGTCCGAGACGAAACATTGGCAATTCATCAGGAGTTCGAGGATCTGTACGCTCATCATCACTAGACACAGACATCGCAGAGTTCAGTGAGAAGATCCAGCGCTTCCTTCTAGATATGTGCCCACGTCCTATTACTCTCCCGTCTACATCACCAAAGCTACCAGCAATCTCATGTGGACATAGTGAACAGGATGTGATTGATCGTACCAATGCAGTAAATGGTTTGATCCATCTTGCAGCAGCAACTGGCTCAACACGGGACTTTTTAATGGTATTACGAGTTCTTCTCGGCGTTAACGACTACGTGTCAGATATGATGAAAGACCAACGACTTTCGTCACGTTCGCTACTCACTTCATCCGTTCCATCCCTCACAACCGTGTGTACGGAAGAGCTGCTCCCTCCACTAGTTAATACTGGTCGTGACGATGAATTGATGCGCGCTACCCGTCCGGACTCCAGTAAGTCACACACCGGAAGCCCACGTAGCAAGCGAGAGACTGAAATTCTTGGAGATAGCGCAATTCAAGACACATTTAAGAAAAAAATGCTACCCAAAGGGATCAAGGCGATAAATTCGACTGCAACAGTGAACCTCGCTATGCATCATCGACTACTGTACAGTAGCCCCGGTAACAACCTCGTAACGAAGCAAAGAACGAAAGATGAGCTGAAGGACGCACTGTTAATGAACGCGAGTCTATCGCTGGATATGTCTAAGATGAAGGAGACACTGACTCGAGATTCAATTGTGACGACTCGAAGCGAGACTGCAGTCGTCACTGCGCGGTGTCCGAAGTTTAAAACTCTCAACATCCAGTCGGTTCTTATTGAACTGGATCGGGTCAAGCCTTGTGTACTGACACAAGGGAAGTTAACCAGCTCGTCTTCTAATGACAGTACGGTATTTACCGAAGACGAAGGAGAACGAGAAGTGTGGAGTTGCGGACAGAATTCGTACGGAGAGCTCGGACATGGAGACACGACGTCGCGTAAATCTTTCGAGCGGATCACGTCACTCCAGCTGAAGGAAATCGTTCAAATTGGCGCTGGGAATGAACATACGATCGCTTTGACAGCCGATGGGAAGGTTCTGACCTGTGGGTATAACGATAATGGCCAATGTGGCCAAGGAGGGACTGCGCGAGTGAGTCATTTAAGCGAAATCCCGAAGATGGAAAGCAGTATTTCACAAGTTCACGCGTACAATGGATGCGAACATACAATTCTAATCACAATGGATGGTCGAGCAGCGACCTGTGGATACAATTATCGTGGCCAATTGGGTCATGGAAATACGACGAGTGAGAGTGTTCCGAAGATAATCCGGAGTCTGGAAAGTAAAATAGTGCGACTAGTATCGTGTAGTTATTACCACACTGTCATGGCGTGTGAAGACGGGAATCAGCAGCATTTGTACACATTTGGACGGAATGACTATGGACAATTGGGACACAATGACTCAATTGATCGTAAAACCCCTCAACAGGTCGAAGCTTTGAGCGACCAACAAATAGTCTCAGTAGCCTGTGGCCAATACCACACGATGGTGGTCTCAGCTACCGGTAAAGCGTTTGCGTTTGGTAAGAATGACTATGGACAATTAGGGATTGAGTCGATGGAGAACCAACTGGTTCCAGTGCAGGTACGAGGTGGACTGGAACGGCAAGAGTGTCTGGAGATTCGCTGTGGATACTACCATACTATAGTCCTGTGTAGTGGAGCGCATTTGTTCGCGTTTGGTCGTAATGACTACGGACAACTGGGTCTGGGTCGGTCGAATGCGAGTTCGACCGCTAATCTTCAGCTACAGCAACAGAGATTCTCGAACGCAAGGTTAATTGAGGAGTTGGAAGGTAAAGATATTGTCCGATTCGCTTGTGGATGTTACCATACAATTGCTGTATCGGATAATGGAGTCATGTACGTTTTCGGTCGAAATAACCACGGACAACTCGGAACTGGCGACACAAATGAACGAGTGTATCCCTTCCCTATTGATGACTTTGTAGGCAAAAGAGTGGCGCTAGTTGCAGCGGGTTTTTACCATACAATTGTGCTGACGGGAGGAAGAGAAGACGACAAGAACGATCAAGACTCGGGCAATGAAAAGGAAGATATGAGTTCTTCTAATGGGATCACACATACGACGATCCTTTCATCACCTTTAGTTCAGGAACTCCTAGACCCTGGACGTCCAGGGTTCAATGGTCTTGATGCCGGAGCTGAAGTGCCAGCAATTGACCCAATTGATGATGATTTCCGCGATGAAGACAGGCGAAATTTAAGCCCCAGTAGACCTCAGACGGACTCTGCGGATGCGCTTTTAGTCGCAGTTGTAATTCTGGCGCAGCTGGATAGATTAAGCCAGCCGTTCATACCGAAACCAGGAAGTTATTCCGCGTTACAACACCCTTCAATGGGTGTCATTGAAGCGCTTACTACGTCTACCACCGCACCAAATTCTTCGTTCGACGCGAGTTTTGCATTTGACGGGAGTTTCGAGTCATTTGCGATTCACAATTGCAGCGCTACGTTTGAAAGCCTCGCAGTTCTGTTAAAACATCTCAGCACGAAGAAGATCGAGGTTTCTTCTCAACTTGCCTCTTGTTTAGCGCCTCAATCCGCTACTCCAAGACGAACAACACTTCAGATGTATATGATGCTCGCTTCCATGCGAATCCTGCAAGCGAATCTATCGCAGTTTCTACGATCTGGCATGGCAAAGGCAGTTATCTTACTCTCTCCAGACACAAATTCAAGTAATGTTATGTCCTGGGCAAAGGAACTGGAACGTATTCGAGTGGCAATTCTACAAGTTCGCGACGTTTTATTGTCGTTAGTGGACATTAAACATCGACGAAATGTCTGCAACGTTCTCGAAAGCTCACCAAACGAAGGGGAAAATGCAACTAGAATCGCTGAAGAAGCTACAGCAACATTGATGCAAGGGTTCGAGCTGTTCTTCCCGTGTCAATGTCTTCAGCGTCAGTTCTGTATGCACGTGATGCGTGAACTCCCACGAGACAATCCGGAACATTCGTGCGGACTACTTTGTCGCCGTGACTTGTGGCTAATTGATACGCTACCAAAGTCTAAAACGCTGTTACTTGAACCGCTTTTAAGGCGAATGACTGAAGATCAGCTGATCATCCGGTTCCTGCCATTGATATCCGCTGTATTTCAACCTGATCAACTAGTTCCGCAAGAAACAGAAGATGTTAGAACGTCGTTAGTAACCGAAGTGTATCAACTTCTACTTGAACGTGTAGCTGCTGATTACTCAAGACGTCTAGGAGATGTAGTAGTTCGGCAATTGGATAGTAATCCACGCCCAGATTCGACCTTGCGGGCGCTCTTTGATACTCTCGGAGCACTGCAGAAGCATCTCTCCAGTTGGGCTGCAAGTGTTCATGAATGGACTTTAAAGGAAGACTCATTGGCTTATAGTGTTGTTGGTATTGAAGAGACAATTGCTGCTGTGGTCGATCGAGTTTTTCGAGTGGATGAACAAGATTTGGATCGAGTTCCAGTGTCTTGGCGTTGCTTTATTGAGTTCGGATTGGCAGCTTTAGGACAGTGTTGCGAAGTGCTTGGCCAAGTAATTTCAACGGAGGCAATGCCTAGTCCGTCTCACGGGTACGAAAGTGTTGAATTGGGGGGTGATTCTTTGCAAAATAAAATACTGGAGACGGTCGAACATTCGATTGTTGGTCAATTTTTACCACTGTTAGTGGTCAGTTTGTTCGAGTTCAGCAACAATTCTCTGTTTGCTGCAACTTTGTTGCCTACTTTGAAGAATCTGTTGCGGCTATTGGACGGGTTTAATCAGCAAGACAGCGCCGTTCATCACGCAGAGAAGGTTTTTATCGAAAATGAGGCTTCTTCAATAAATTCTCGACTTCCAGAGAAAGAAAGTAACGTTACTGGTAATTTTCAACGCAAGAGCGTGGGTAATTTACTTACCGCTCGAGTAGAGGATACAACTGGAAGAAAAGGAGCGACGGCATCCGATGTCACGGCTTTGCCCTGGCACTATCGATTGGAAAAGGAACTGGCTGTACTTGCAGCTGAGATGGCAGTGACGCTTATAATCGGTGACCCGTATTTTACTTACGAAGGTGAATATGGCAGCTCTAAACTTTCAAAGCGTTGGCTGACGAGCCCATTGTTTCGAGGAGGATTAAACTCGAAGTATTTAACGCAAAGTATCAATCATACGAGCACAACACGGTCCGAACACAGTCAAGTCGTTCAGCATACACCATTCCCAGCAGCAATTTCTCCACTTGGGTTAAATACTCAACCGTTCTCGCTCATTCTTCCTCCACCTTCTGACAACGAAGATACAATCCCAATATGGCAGCTACCTACTGATAAAAATTACGGAGAAATATTTCGTCCCGACTCCGTTCGAAGATTTCTATCCTCGCTTCAAGAAAATGATTCATTAGCGTCGAAGCTGTGTGACTGGGTTCGAGATTGCTATGCTAAGAAAGACCCGTCATATCGAATGATCATTCGCCAGTCTCAACTCTCTAAGGCTTCTATTCACTCGGAAAATGATACTCGGATAGAGACAGCATGTTTTGCAGCTCTTCTTCATCACAATATGCTTGGTATCCAGGCCTATCATTTCGCTTTGGGACTTGGATCGAGAACGGAAAATCGATCCCCACCACGAAGTTTCGTCAGTTTGTGGCAGTGCGTTGCTCAGTTACGACGACGCGTGGCTGCTAAGAAGACGGAGATCAAGAATTTGCCTCAAAAAGACTCAGATTTAAGCTCTTTGGATCGGATTTCTGCTCTTCAGCAGACGATTCTGGATCGGTGTAAACTTCTGCTATTTCTAAATATCCACGAAGAGCAAGAACACTTGAATCTCCAGTTGGATGCAGGCTACATCGCCTCCTACGACCCCGCATTTCTAGTATCTGCCAGCTCGACATTTAACTTCTCTGCTTCGTCAGCTAAACGCCATCTTCACGCAACATACACAGACGAAAAACTACCTTTCCTGGTGGCTTTTTCATCGTCGAAATGGAGAAAAATACGTACGATACTACACACAATTATCCGGTGGAAATCCCAAGCGACAGAGTTCCAGCTACACCCTTCAAATCACATTTCTCAAGACGTTCTGGCTTATATTTTGTCGGACGAGTTGGTGTCTTCCACCCGTGCCATTAAAAATCTATTGGTCGATCCTTGTAGACGTGTCAGTTGCTCTGTTCGAGGACTAGAAACACTGTGGGAACTCCTCACTTTGGTCTCGTTTGATTCAATTCAAACCGACATCGTCCATCAGGTCTCACAGGTTTTTGTATTCCAGTCCAAAACATCGATTCTAGCGAGATCTCACAGTGTTGGATACTTTTACTCCAGTCTCCAGAATGAAACTTTTTCGGAGTTTATTGGACAATTGACTCAGTTGATGACTGACAAGGCTGCAAAGCTGATGGAACCGGGAGAAACGGATGCTAGTTGCACATTCTGGATCGTAATTGTGTTGCTTAGTGCGTGGGGGATCCACTTCGATGCCGAACAATTCGAATTTGTGAGTGACATTGGAATTCTTCGAGTTATTCAAGAAATGACGCAGACTATTTCCACTAATACTTGTGACCTAAACAGTGAAGGTACGGTATCGAAGGACAGTATTGTGGGTAGAAGCGGAGGTTTGAATCCTTCTCAACTGACCATGCAAAAGCAGCTCGTTCGATTAGAGGACACGTTGTGGATTTTGTTTAGGTACATTTGTGTGCACTTCGCAGTACAAAATTCATCAAGTGGAGGGGATATCTACGCACCCACGTTCCCAGTTTTATCAGGTGTTACACAGTTATTGTTCAGTGAAGCATCATCGATCTCAAAGAGATTCCTGCCTCTACTAGTGGCTGAGGATAGTACGAAGCAGATAGAAGATGCTCCTGCTATCCCTGTAGCAGTTCGAAGAAGTTTTGAGGTTGTTACGCTGCCACAACGATTTTCTGCTCAGAGTAAAGGAGCCACTTGTACCTACGACGAAATGATCTCTCCTTCTGAGTCTGAGCCCACAACACCTATGTCTCCTTTGCTTAAGCCGAACGAATTCAGTATTACTACGTGGCTTTATATCAACAGCCAGTCAACTTCACATTCACGAATGGATAATAACCTATTTGACGTGTCTAACGATCTCCAAGACCGTCAATTGGTTTGTATTCGTGCTGCTGGGCGCGAGATATCGCTGTATCTACTGCTGGTGCCTGAAAGTGTCGACAATTGGCAATTGGAAGTGGGGATTCTCATGGATATAGACAGAGAAGGAGACGCAGGAGAACTCCCTATTAAGGGTCGAATGTGGGAGCGAATGGTGTCGAAACAAGTTGTACCAGGCGGGAAATGGATCCACGTTGCGATAGTGCTAGAAGCTGTAAAACTTCGACTCTATCTGAATGGCATTCTCGACTGTCAACGTTCATTTACTGCTCAAAGCACGGCTATATGGGCGGCTGGGAAGGTCGATCTTCCTATTCATTTTGGTCGATTTCCAACGAGTCAAACCAACGCTTCAGTCTCTTCGGCTATTGGGTTCTTGTCACGCTCGTTTGGGATAAAAGGTTCTAGCTGGGATCCTGGAATGAATAATAATCTGGAACAGAAAGGAGGTTTCCGGTGCTTTGATGGCTGGTTGGGCCACTTCCGCTTCCACAATCGCTCGCTGTCTCCTATCCACGTTCGAATTGTATTCGACGAGAAGAGATCTCCTTCTGGACTATCGTCGGATGTAAACGATCATTCGAAAGTCTTGGAGCTTCATGCTTTACTAATTCTACTCTGTTCTTCATCTGAAGGAATTGTTCACTTTAGTTCTCAATTTTCAGATTGGATGAAGTTGATTTGGGGGACTTTTCTGGGTACCAACTTAGCGGTTGTGCAGCAGTCAGCGTTACGTGTATTGTGCGCTTTACTGCCTCTTCAACACCCGCACGATGCATCCAAAGCGTTAGTTCAAGACGAGAAGATAGAGAATCTTGGATTTTACTCTATCGAAGATATTTTCGTGCACCAAGTGGTCAGGATGATCGGATTCTGCTTAACTAAATGCCTTCAAAGTTCATTAGACGACAGCAATGCTACTGTAGTACCGTGGACGCTGATGGTTGCTCGAGGAATCCACGGTAACCATTTTTCTCTTGATATTCAAGACAATACAAACCAACAAACGGATCTAGAAAATGACGTAGAGATCCGATACCAGTCGTCCAAGCGGCAGAGTTTGATGTTGGCAAACGAACTTAACCAGCTTCTACAGCAGCTATTCAGGTGTTCGAATGATACTTGGAGTCAGAGTATCATCAGAGTGACTTCAAATATCGCCCAGAACTTCTCGAATTCTCCAACCTCCGAGCCTGAAGTTCGTGTTCTTCAGTTTGGAAAGCACACACTTCAGCTCGCTATTGTCAAGTGTGTGGAATCTGTAGGATGCTTTTATTTTCTTGCTGGAGGAGTGGAGTTCTTGCGACCAGGGATGACTGTGGAAATGAGAGGATCAAGAGATTTTGCCCAGGTGCTCTCACTTGAGTATCATGCTTCTAGATCATCTCAAAATCCCCCTGAGACTCCGTCAGATACCAAATCTCCACAAATTGATACGCTAGCTTACGTCCACATTGACAGCAGGTCAGAGATTCAAGGAGGACTAAAAAATGGCTACGAATCAACCTGGTATGAGAGAGTTTTCAGTTCGAATGTAGCAAATAATTCGTCGTATTCGAAGGTGAATATTGACGAACTTAATCCGGTTGAAGTAACCAATCTCAATTGGAATGATGAAGCGAATCGGGGTGCTATCTACGACCTCAGCTTTAACCGTTATGACCATAAAGTATTTAACGTGTTAGTGGGGAAGGCAGCTGAGGTGGTTCCTGTTGTCTATGGCGCTGAACGTACCGGAGTATTGGATAGTGACTTGATCTCCTTGAACGTTGGCTGTTTGTTACTGAAGATTCTAGTGCAAATAGCTGGAAGTGGTGCTGGAGTCGACGAATTATTATCTAAACGAACGCTGATTGAGGCTATTACGGAGCTAGCTGTAAGCCAAAATGGCAATACTGAGTACGAAACGCTTTACAACGTCGAAAAGCGAGTGAGCGCTTTGCGTCGAGAAGTTTACACAGCATTAGTTGAGCTTGGTAAAGAAGGAGAGGCGGAACTGGCGACTGTTTTTGAGTCAAAACGAGGTGTTTCATCTGCTCAAAGTGAGAATATGGCTTCTCTGGATGGAGGAGAGCTGGGGTTTAACACGTCGAGAGATACAGGACATCGGAGTTTATTACAAACCCCAACGGATATAATGCCTTTAAATGACGGTAATTTATCTGATGGAGAAGATGAACCTGCTAACGAGAATTGGGATCCTACTCAGGGTGAAGACCAAGACGACGACGAAGAAGAAGAGGACGAGAGCCTAGAAGATGGCGACAATGATGAGGACGATGAAGAGGACGCAGAAGAATCTCGAGCTGAGTTTGTGGAGGAATTGATGTTGATGGGGTTTCCCGAAGATTGGTGCGTTTTAGCGCTGAAACAAACTGAGAATGACATTGTGAATGCATCGGCCTGGATTGTTGATAATCTGGAATATCTGAGCAAGTTACAGTCAACATTGGACAAGGAACGCGACAAGGGTCGAGATTCCCCTCGCTTCGATGCAGAAGAGGACGACGTCATGCCTCCAGATGATGCACCAAACGGTAATATCGATGCAGTCCCATTGAATCCGTCCATCACTTCGACAAAGAGCGACTTTGGTTCGAAGGGCAAGTGCGATAGCGGTGTACCCCCGCTGAACGATAAAGAAATGGGGCGAAAACTATTTGCTGAGATGTATTTTCCTTTCGAAGATGGAGGATTTCTCTCCAATACCAAGTCGCGGTTTATGAAATCATGGAGAGATGATACCATAGAAATGAAAGCAAAGGCAGCGTCCTCTTCCCAGCCCATTGTCGATAATAAGCCTGATGCTTCACGCTCACCATTTGAGGAGGATTTCCAGAAAGAAATTAACCAGCTGGACCTTAAAGGGATCGTCCAACAACTCCGAGATTTCGAGAAGACCTTGTCGATTATGTATGCTCGTCAGTGCTTGGTCACGCTACTGAATCAAGCAAGTTCTTCGAGACTTGTGCCACATTTGATCACTTACGAGCAATGGTTTAAGCTGCTCAAAGTCGTTCTACTTCGTGGCGATCAATTTGCAATAACTTCGAAAAATATTTCGACAATGAGGCTTCAGAAATTATCCGTGGATGAGGCGTTTTCAAAAGCGTTTAGATACTTTATCGACCATGACGGGGCTAGTGTGGCGTCAGCAGCGTTTGAGTTTTGTCTTGAGGAGCTGGAAACTGCTGCGTCCGGTAAAGCTTATGAAGCGGTTCTGTGGACTCAAAGGGAGCTCTATCGACCAGATAGAACTGTACTGGAAGAACCGGGAATTGAGGTCGTTATTTGGCTTCTAGATGCACTACTGGCTGTTCCAACACGCTCGTCGTTGTCTATTTCTACTGATTTCGGTAAAACAATTTTACGTCGCCTGCGATGTTGTCTGGGTACGACGAATCTGCCACTGAAGTTTGTAGTACTGCGGACTATCAGCAGACTATTGAAAGTCGTGGAAAGTATCGATAAAAACGTGGTAAATGAGTCTCAATTGGTTCTCCAGGAGTTCTTAAATGCAGCAATCATACGGCACAGTCGTGAGTTGAGTCAAGGTCGACTCCTATTCTCGCAGTATCTCCAGGGATACATCGAACTTCTTCACGTTTTACAGGGGTTTAGTGGCTTTAGTGACTTGAACATCAGTCGAACTCTAACGAATGCTGCAGCTACGCAAGACCACAGCACTAAAACTGAGGGTTTCTCGCTGTGTTTCGACCGTAAACGAAGCCGCAGTAGCTTGTTATCCTTTGCCGAAGATAATCTCAGTGTGTCGTACTCTGGGAATGAGGTTTGGAAAGCAGCGTGCGCTGTTACGAGCTTCTCGACTGGAGTTCATTCGTGGATGGTCCGTATAGAGAAATCCAGTTCTCCTTATCTCTTTGTAGGCATCGCTACTCGACAAGCGAACTTGGATTCATTCCTTGGCGCAGACGATCAATCTTGGGGATTCATTGGTGATAAAGCACTTTACTACCAACGCAATAGAGTACGAGCGTATGGCGAGACTTTCACTGAAGGTGACTGTATCGGTTTACGCTTGGATTGCGAGAAAGGGGAACTATCTTTTAGTAAAAATGGTGTTGACTTGGGTGTGGCGTTCGATAATATCGTAGGAGAAGTATGTCCTGCTGTCGCCTTCTACTCTAGACACCAGAAGATCTCCTTTGTAAAGGATAGCTGTACTAGTTTGTCTAATATCTCTTCAACTGGTGAGGAGGAGAGCGCTAGTGTTGAGGATTGCTTAATCGCCTGCGAGATTATTTCCAACTGGGTGGCAAATAGACCCATGCGTGGTGAAATGTCCGCTGCTGCGTTAAAAATGACTGCAGAATGGATCACTGGGTCGATGAAATACGTCACTACGCGATCAGGAAAGTCACTTTGGGTGGATGTCACGCGTGGAAAGTGTGAACAATTTGGATTTTATTCTGATGACAAAGTTCGCACACCTCGTGGGATTGGAGTTGTAGTGGGGGTAACAGGTGGGCGGATCTGGGTGGAGGTCGACAACGAACCTGGAGCGTGGTTTTTCCATCCGTCAAAGCTACGCTTAGTGCCGAGTTCAACCACGAACGCTTTATCCATTTCTACAACTTCCTCAACAACCGAAAATGCTCCAAAACCCACCGAAAATGGCTCAAAAGTGGACAAGGAAGGTCAATTGCCACAGTTCACTCTTTCTGCCGAAGAACTGGTTGAGTTTGGGGAGCACTCGGTGTGGAACATTGCAGTGGATCGTGAGTTTTTGAGTGTGATTAACGATTTCTGCGAGGTGTCACGAATAAGTCCGTGGAATTTGACACCTACTCAGCTTCTCAAAACTATCAAAGAGAAGGCTGCTGTTTTGGAGCTTACGTCCGTAGCTAACGTACTTGCAATGCCGATAGAGAAACTTGAGAAGATGCTAGTCGCACGGTTTGCGCTTCTTCGGTTTTGCAACATGTATATTAGTCGTGCTTTACCGTTCTTCGACTTGACATGGCACTACTTTTTACCGGATTCGAACTCGCTGCCGTGTCGGCTGGTGTCACAATGTCGTGGTAGTCTGTTTGTCTGTGTGAAAAATTCACTTTGGACGGCGTTGATGGAGAGAACTGCTAATTCGCCAAAGAAATCCGACGACGAGTATGATTATCCAGAAGATTTACCTCAGCTTCGGGTTAACCGGTTAAAGGCAGCAGCCGCAAAGTGCCACGAGGGAACAGTGAGCAGCTTGTTCCTGTCACTCTTCGGTCAGGCTTTCGAAGAGCTTCATTTCTTACCACTTAGAACGCTACGTATGGTCTACTCACACCCAATGGATGATGGCCAATTACGGAGTTTTAAGGTAAAATTTGAGGGTGAAGGTGTGGATGACTATGGCGGTCCGTATCGAGAGTTCTTTTCGCAATTCTTCGCTGAATTACAGATGCTGCACGTACCAGAAAATGAAGATAATACCAACGCAAGTTCGGATCATTCTTCTAATGGAGGGCCAAGCAGTACGTCGTTGAAACTGGACCCTAATGTATCGGTATCAGCTTGTGTCCTGCCCTTCCTTATGCCAAGTCCGAATTGGCGGAATGGAGTCGGAGCCAACCGTGAAAAATTCGTGCTTAATGGGGCTCTTGTTAGTCGTCAAACTGATGACAAGAAGGCATCGTTTTCAACTGAGGAAAGTGCAGAAGAGAAACGTCAACTCTATTGTGAAATGTTTTACTTCTTCGGTCAGATGATCGGCATTTGTCTCCGGACTCGAGTGTGCGTTCGCCTCGATCTAGCGATGTCAGTGTGGAAACAACTCGTGGCTGAAGATGAATCGAGCCCGGAGAGTGCATTAGAAACACTAAAAGAGATCGATTTCGTCGCGTATTCATTGTGGAAGACGCTGAACGGCATTTTAGATGAGTTTAAACGTCTAAATTCCAAGCAGTGCGAGTTAGAGGAACAACTGGAAGCAATGGATTTGGTTTTTACGACTGTATTATCAGATGGACGAACCATTGAGCTTTGCGAAGATGGAGCCAATACCGCTGTGGTTTTAACTAATCTGGAAGAATACGTAGATTCTATGCTTCGAGCACGGATCCAAGAAACTCAAGAGGTGATGAATATAGTAAAACAGGGACTTCATTCCATCATGCCGGTCTCTGCATTGGCACTTTTGACGTGGAATGAGCTCGAGAAACGCATGTGTGGCGTTGCAGAAGTGGACGTGAAGCTGTTGCAGACTAATACCGAGTACGACGAAGATTTGTCTCCTAATGATGAGTTTATTCAGAGGTTTTGGCGCGTGCTGGAAAGTCTCGAACCGGAGGACAAACGAGCGTTTCTGCGGTTTGTATGGGCTCGTTCACGTTTGCCTTTGGGCTCGGCACAGTTCCACCAAAAATTTAAGATCCAAGCTCTCGCATCTTCGGGTAATGGGGATGGGAATAGTTCATCGTCAAGTACTAGTGGAGGGTGGATGGACTCGCAGATGCCAAAGTCTCATACGTGTTTCTTCGCACTTCAACTGCCACGATATTCCAGTGACGACATCTGTCGCGAACGACTTTTGTATGCAGTACGCAACTGTGTCGAAATGGATGGAGACTTCCGTCTCGCTGACACGGAAATGACAGGCTGGACGGGCATCAGCCCTACAGATCAGCTACGCATTTGACACTCTCGAAATTTCATGTTAATAAACTAATGAAACGGGAGAAATAACATTTATTTTTTTGAAAATGCTTCTAGTAGCATTTGTTGTTTGACAACATCTGGGAGAACCTAACTTTAGATTTCATACGCAAAATATTACGACTTGCATTATTTACCACCGTATTTTACGGACCTGGTGGTGTTTGGTGATTTCACGACTTGTATTATTTACTTCTGTATTTTACGGACGACACGCCGCCAAAACAATTGGCAGCGTGAGATAGCAACAAATAAGTGGTGTCATGGCTATCAGACGTGCTGATTTTTTCGGTCAGCGAGGATGACCAGATCTCAAACTTAGTGGCTCCAAGGACACGCCTTACTTATTATAATAGTCCAACAACAAACAAACGAAATCTAAGTAACCATGTATTCTTACACCTCAACAACTAACACCATTAGCAGGTCTATCAGCGTCCATCGCTAACGACGTACATGGGCAGTGATGGAGAGCGTAGATTCTTTTCTGTGTAGGAACGTCGTAGGAAATGACCCAGTGTCGTCGTGCTTGAATGCCGAGCTGTCACCTTCCATTGAAAGGAGCAGCTCCACTATCCGTAATGCGCGTCGGGATTCTTCGGCTTCAGCGTGTCTTTAATGGGCTTGGTCATTGTGTGTATTTCCTGGCACGTCACTTTCCAAAGCTCTTCCGTTACCAAACTTGATCGGGGGAGGTGTAATCATGTTGCCATGACCTCGTACGGTCGACATTGACACAAGGACGACTGCCCCGGCGGTGATGAATGCAAGGACGTTCATTATTCGGCGGCAAGATTTGAGAGAGCGTTTAAACTGGAAGTGTCTTGGTGTTGGAAATTCAGAAATGAAGAATTATTTGCTTCGTTTTGAGTTCGAAGCGAGCGCTCGAGTCCCATCGTAAAAGTCATCATTGAAATCCTTTACATACAAAACAGACAGGGAGGTGGATACTGATTATGAGGTGTTGCCTTCTGCGTCATACGCATTAAGATGACGGTAGAGAAATAATTGACACAGTTCCGAAAATTGGAGGTGTCGGTAGAATTCTATCACCCTGTCTGAACTCAAACGAGACCTTCTTGTGCATTAACTGTATAGGGCGGAGGGGATTTTTGTCATGCTCGGTCCCAGGGCTAAGCCTGCGAGCTAAGCACACGGATCTTAGAACACAGGCATGGATTCACGTTGCCCAGAGAGTTGGAATGTACTCCTTTCTCCTCATGCGCACAAACACATTGCGCCACGTTTTGGCTTTTTATGTGAAAATAACAGTTAAAGTAGATTTGCCCAGCTAAATTTATTGAGCTAGTTCAGTGTAGCCACATCCCAGTTTGATGAAAACGCTGTTCATATTTTTCTGAGCTATTAAGCATTTCGGTGTGACACACCTGCCTGCAAACTAGATGCGAAGTGAGTTCTATTAAGCATGAGTTTTACCGTTCTAGTTCTGCTCCACTGGAGGGCGTTCCCTACTGCTGCAGCAGTGCTGCAGCGTCCTCTACTTGCTTATGCAATGTCGCTGTTGATGCGCTCGATTGCGTAATACCGCTGTTGACCCGGCCGATTATGTGGGGACGCAGCCTAGTCTCGCTGTGTCGTCCTCGAGGCGATGGCTACTGCTATCAGGCCGTGCTCGTGGTATAATAGCGGCGTTGATCGCCGGTGTGTCGTCGCTGTCATCTGGTACAATACTCCACGCTAGGCTCAGCTCATACTAAT